GGGAAAGAGAGTGAGAAAGCACCCTCCAGTGGGCACGGTCATGCTGCACACTCCTCTCCTCCATTTCTCCTTCTTCATGGTATTTTGGGAATGCGTGCACATGCACCTGGTGTGTTTCTCAGGCTGCTGGGTCCAGGACTCAAATTGTGCAGTCGGCCATGTGGGATCCACCTGTTTCAACCACCATGCCACGGGCTGGCTCTGTTTTATTTTTTTTTAAATTATTTATTTAATTCCATTTGCTATTATTATTTTTTTTGGGGGGGGGTTGCTATAGGGTGCATGTGCTCGCCAGAAAGACAGAGAGAGACAGAGAGACAGAAAACAAGAAATCACTCCTCAGGGAGGATGACCACACCGCAATCCCTTCTCCTCCATTCCCCTCTCGGGATCTTGGGCACGCATGCACATGTACTCAATGTGATTTCCAAGCTGCTGGGTCTGGGACTTGAATCATGATTAGCCATGTGGGAATCCAGTGCCTTAGCTGGTCCCGCTATTATTATTTTTAATTTGACCTGAGAGAGATAGAGAGAGAAAGGGAAAGTGAGAAAGCATGCCAGCTTCCAGGTCCAGGACCCGAACTGTGGTTGGCCATGTGAGAATCCAACACCTGGTCTCTCTATTTTTAAATTTTCATTTATTCATTTTTTTTCCAGGAAGCAGGAGGTACCCCCAACAGAGCCTTCATACCATAATCCACCCGGGTCTCAGCCAGCCAGGGTCACAGGTATGTGGGCATGCACCCAGTGTGCTCAGGGAGACCCTGGGATGGAAACCTGGGATCTTTCTCATGTGAGTCCAGTTGTGTTATGAAGATGGTGACAGCCAGCACGTAGCATGGTAGTTCAGGTGCTGGGTCCTCTATGGCTGACTCCTTGGTTCAAGTCTCAGACCCGTTGGCTTGAAAAAAACACCAGGTGCAAGTGCATGCATGTCTGAAATCCGGAAAGGAGAATGGAGAAGGGACTGCACTATGGCCATCCAAACCGGGGGGTGATTTCTCACTTTCCCTCTCTCTGTCTCTCTCTCTGGAGGGCACACACAAAAACATCTTTAAAAAAATGAATAAAATATTTAAAGAAAAGAAAAGAGCCAGTCAAAGCTAGGTAGCTATGAAAAACACATGACAAGTCCTGAGTAGGCCCTGGTGAGAAGTGAACGAGACCGCACTGCGCCCACACCTTCACTGCCTTTGCTCGACAGCACGTACTGACTGCCCAGCGCCAAGCATAGCTCTAGGTGCTGGGAATGGAGCACTGACAGACAGACCCTGCCTTTGTGGGGTTTGGTCTCAAGGGTAAATAATAACATTTATAATAAAATGGTGCTATAAAGAAAATGAGCGCAGAGAACAGGATAAAGAACTAGTCACGGGGCCAGCAGGTGATGTGGTGGTTAAGAGCGCGGGATTCCCACGAGGATGACTGTGGATAGGATCCCAGACCTGGCAGCTTGCTCTCTCACTTTCTCAATAATAGAGAAATTTTTTAATTCTTAAAAAAGAACTAGTCAGGTGAGGGTTGGCAGGTGGCATGGTGGCTGAAGCACTGGATTCCTACATAGCCGACCATGGTTCGAGTCAAGAACCTGGCAGCTTGCTTTCTCACTGTCCCTTTTTCTCTGGTCAAATAAAATAATAATAACAAAATGAAATAAAATAAATAGTTCTTAAGAAAAAAGCAAAACTAGTCAGAGGAAGGAGAAAAGCCTAAGGAGACAACATTTGAATAACCGTGAATGCAGTCAGGAGTGGGTTAAGTGACCATGTGGGGAAGAGCAGTCTGAAGACCACAAGGGCAGGAGTGAGCTGCCGCCCCTGCCCAATCACTTCACTTCATTGGAGGCTGAAGGTGGGGACTGCAGGTTCCTCCTAAAATGCTATTAAAGATTCCAAAACTGACTTCAGGCTAAAAATCAGTAAGACCAGTTCCCCAGTGGGAAGCCTCAATGAATGAGTGCATGAACAACAGAGTTGGCAGTGGCATAGTGGTTACGGCACTGGACTCCCACATGGCTAATAGCAGTCTGAGTCCTGGACCTTGAGGCTTGAAAATCAGGCTGGGCACATGTGCGTGTGTGCCCAAATCCTGAGAGAAGACTAGAGAAGGGTAGGGGGGAGGGTGACTTCTGACTGGGGAGGTGGTGTGATTTCTCGCTGTCTTTCTCTGTCGTGAGATTTCTCCTATGGAAAAAACTTAGAATAAATAAATAAATAAATAAATAACAAGAGCAAAATACAAAAACTAAGCAAGAAGACCCAATCATAAGAAAAGGAGGAAACAGAGGCCAGCAAGTGGCATGGGGGTTAAGGCGATGGAAGGCGATGGACTCCCACATGGCTGACCATGGTTTGAGTACCAGACCTGGTAGTTGGCTTTCTCACTTTCTCTCTTTCTCTCTATCTGGTGAGTGTATGTGCCCTGTAGCAAATTTTAAAAATAATAATGATGATGATAAATAAAATTAAATAATTATTTCCAAAAAATTTAAAAAAAGAAAAGGAGGAAGCAAACATTTAGTATGCCCTTTGCATTTTACATTATCTCATTTAACCTTAGCTAGGTGTTACTATCCCCATTTTTTTTCTTTTTTTTTTTTTTCTGGAGAGGTTTTTGCTACAGGGTGTGTGCGCTCACCAGAGAGGCAGAGAGAGACAGAAAGTGAGAAATCATCCCCTGGGGGGGATGGCCATACCATAATCCCTTCTCCTCCATTGTCCTCTCGGGATCTTGGGCACGCATGCACACACGCCGGTGTGAGTTTAAGTCATCCGGTCCAGGACTCAAACCACGGACGACTACATGGGAGTCCAGCGACATAGCCATTAAGCTAACTGCTGGTCCCACTATCCCCATTTTATAAATAAGAAAAGTGAGGATCTATTGAGTAAGCCGGAATCCCAAAGACGCCCATGCATTTTCCCCTACGTGACACTGCTTATCAGCAAAGCATTCTCTTCTTTTAAACTCTTGGTATTTCTTTCAAAACAGGGATCCTTACCCTATTATCTATACAGTATTTTCAGAGAGCCCACAAAACCCCTAGAATGCAAGTAAATGTTGGCACATGTTATTTGCCACTTATATTTATTTACTTAAATTTTCCCAGAGGGCATGGCTACTCACCGAGGAAAGACAGAGAAAACACCCCTCCATGGGGAATGATCACGCCACAAATCCTTCTCCATTTTCCCCTCCGTTCAGGATTTCTGGCATGCACACCCCCCTGGCATGTTTCTCAAGGCACCCGGTCTGGGACTTGAACTGCACAGTTGGCCATGTAGGCTCTAGCTACCTTAATTACCGCAGGCTGGCCTGCACACACGTTTTGTCTATTTAGCATTTCTGGAAGAAGACTCGTGGCTACCCCCAGCTTCTCAAGGAGGGTGGGAGAGAATAAAGATTAACCACTAGCCTGGAGCCCATTTCTGGAGGCTGCTCCGGATATAAAACGGGAAGATGGGAAGTTCAATCACAGCCTCTATAGCCGAGTGTCAGCCCCCCCAACCTGCCCAGCACGTGACCTCACATACTCAGTTTTAAGCTGGAAAACAAAGACAGCCTGGGCAATTCTGGAAGAAGGAAGAATGTGCCAAAGAAAAGGAACACCTGCTAGGAAGGCCCTTCGTTTGGAGGCTAATGTCACCTACTTTACTCTCCAGCCTCACCCCCACCCCGCCCAACTGTACGGGCCCATACAGTGCTAGCGTCCCACTATTCCCAGGAAGAAAAGGGGGCCGCCACCCCAGGCCCCCGGTTAGAGCGGCGCCGCTCCTAGCGTATTCCACTGGATGGAAAGTGCCCACACCGTGCGAGACAGCACAGCCCGGCAGTCGGTGCGCCAGCTTTGGCTCAAACACTAACTCTGGCCAGGTGTAATATGGGCAAGTTACGTAACCTGAGCTGGAAAATGGCGTGAACGTCGTCCACCTAACACGGTCACGCTGCGGATTAAGTGGGATAATGTACGTGAGGTGCTCGGCCCGGAGGCTAACGCACAGCGAGCGAGCCTAAGGGGTGGTTACTGATACTGCCGTCGTTATTGTTGGTCTAGCACAGACTGCGCAGACGTCGGGGGAAGGGCCTCCTGGGGGGAGCTCTTCAGGGGAGCTCCTCCAGCGGTCCTCCAACCCGCCTCAGATCCGGGGTGCTCCCGGGGTGCCCCATCAAGCGGCTTCCTGGTCCCACAACTGGGAGGAGGGCGCTTTCCCAACCGCGCCGGGCGCCGGGCCCCTTCCCGAGGCGCCTTCATTCCGCCCCGCCCGCCGAGGTCACGCGCTCGGGTTACCATTTTCTTGCTCTCCGTGCCGCGGTTCGCCTGCCTCGACATGGTGCCGGCCGCCCCGCCCTGCCTCGCCTCTCCGCAGACCCACTCAGCGACCCCTTCGCACGCCGATCCACCCAGCGGCAGCCCCCCCGCCTTCGGGACTGACCGGCACCTGCTCAGCGCGCCTGCGCGGCCTGCCGCGGGGCACCACGGGACTCGTGGTCCGGACGAGCGTATCTCCCGCCCAACAAACGTCGGACTACAACACCCAGCAGCCTCTTAGTTTACCCGAACTACAAATCCCAGAGTGCCCCGCGGGCGCCTGACTCGTACAGCCTGGCTCCCTTCGGGCCGCTGGGTGGCGTTCGCAGCCTGCGGTAGTCTGGATCGTCCGCACGCTTCTCTTTCCTCCCCCAACGCCAGGCTCAGAGATACTCTGCAAATTCTTCTGTCGCCCAGTTGGTCTTGGAAAGTCCCTCTTTCGAACTAGCTACTTCCGCTATTGCTGCAATTCAGCCACAGAAGTTCCCAGATGTCCCAGAAAACTAGAAATGGCTCACAGACAGCTTCTTCATTATAAAAAACAATGACCACCTGCTATATACCAAGCATTTCTCTGGTGGCTTTCTGTTCAAACTGTCCCATGTTCCCAAACCCCTAACGCAGCCAGCACCTGCATCCTACCCCCTGTGGCCTGCGATGGAAAATCCAGCCTTTTAGATAAAGTTCATATCATCTCTCCCTCCCTCCGTTAGATCAGCCACGCTGCCTGGTTTCCAGTACAGACCGTTCTCCGGTTTTGCCGTCTAAGGCCTGTTGCTGGGTCTCTAGGCTGCAGCGAAGACTTAAGACGTGCCGGCACAGCACCCGGCACATGAAAGCATAAAGCGCTCGCCGATTCCCTTTCCTCCAGCCCCTCTGAAAACACGGCCCAGCAAACAGCCCCAGAAGAACCGGGGCATGTGCTGGCTGATCCCGCACCCTCACAAGGGGAAGTCCTGCAGTCCCCGACCACAGCTCTTGGGTTTCAGCCAGCAGGCTCCCCTTGTCTGGTGAGCTGAGGCCTGTGCTGGGCTGGGGGTCCCTCAGCACCCTCTCCTGCCTGATAGCCTGACTGCAGCAGCTGCGTTCTAGCCCCTGCCTTCACCATGACAACCGGCCTGTCTAGACGTGAGCCGGCCAAGCTGAGAAGGTTGGGGGCCAGGGTTCCCTCTGTCCTTCCCTCAGAGTACAGGACTAAGCTTATTTGTTTATTTATTTTTGCTATAGGGTGAAAATGCATGTTTGCTGGAGGATGAAAGAGAGTGAGAAAGGCCGGCAGGTGGCGTGGTGGTTAAGGGTGCTGGACTCCCACATGGTCATAGTTCGAGTCCTGGTCTTGGCAGCTTGCTTTCTCACTTTCCCTCTCTTGCTCACTCTGTCCCTCTCTGGTCAAATTAAAATAAATAGATAAATAATGTAATATAAAACAAATCTTTAAAAAGTAAAGAAACTAATGCTGGGCATCTGAATGTGCACACCAGAATCCCAGGAGAAGGGATCGTGGCATGGTCATCCCCCCTGGGGGGCGATTTGTCATTTTCCCTCTCACTGTCTGTCTCTCTCTGCACCCCATGGGAAAACCCTTTGGAAAAAAAAGAAGAAGAAAGAGAGAGAGACAGCCAGAAAGCACCCTCCATGGGGGAATGGCCATGCCCCAATCCCTTCTCCTTCATTCTCCTCTCAGGATTTTAGATACACACACACACACACGTGCCTGACATGTTTTTCAAGCCACGGGTCCAGGATTTGAACCATATAGTCAGTAGCATGTGATCTAGCTGCCTCAACCTCCGTGCTATGGGCTGTCCCGTTCATCATTATTATACCCTTCTGCCTGTAGTGCAGATGTTCTGGGGCCTCCCTGGAGGCAGTGACTCCCGACTCCTGACTCCTCCTCAGCAATACCCAGGGGAGGAACCGAGCTGGAGGGCCCTGGGAGGAAAGAGGGCCACTGGTGGGGGAAGAAGGTGGGGGTCGTGGGCCCCAGAGGCCAGGACAGCTAGAGAGGAGCCCGTGCGTTCCCAGGAGAGAGGACAGCTGAGGTGAAAGCTGCAGTTGGCTGGCCTGTCTGTCGGTCTGGGCTCCTCCCTGCCGGCTGCCCTTGGCTGCCCACAGAAACCTGAGTCACAGTCAGGGCCTGCCGCCCGACCCCACCCAGCCTGCTGTCAGGCAGGGCGAGCTGGAGAGGATGGAGGTGGAGCCTCGCTGCCGGCCTCTCAGCCCAGATTCTCCCTCTCCCAGCCCGCCCCTGATTCCTTTCCTTGGCGGCTCCTCTTCGGGACTCTTCTTGCAGCGTCAGTCCTGAATTAAGGGTGGGTGGGGTCCAGCTCAAGTCGCTCTGTAGGGTCTCCTCCTTGCTCATTTGGGAACTTCAAAGCTCCTTAGACAGCCGCTGAAGGTTCTCAGTGGTCTCCGTCACTTCCAAGCCTCGACTCCTCCCTACTACGTCTAGGGCCC